GCAGCTATACCAGAAAACACGCAAGGCAAAGATCAGAGATCCGAGGTCACCGCACCTCGGCTGCGGGTCTCAGAGCTTACCGCACCGAAAGTGTATGGTAGCCACAATAGGCATGCTCTCATATGATCATTTGTCCCTACCAGAACACCCTTTCTCAAGGGACCTGCTTCGTCAGAATACACCACACGCATTTAATGCGATTACTTCGTTAAGGCACGTTACATTCACCTAAAATGTCTACTCCGTCAGGCGCACTATGTCACCATTATTGGATTGACTGAGTCACGTGGGTGCGGACAAGCCACGTGGGTACCTTGCCAAGATGGACAAAGCCCACAAGGTAAGGTTCGATAAATAGGTGGAACAAACAAGAAAAACATTGGATTAGAAAAATACTGACTTAAGCATTGGAGTTTCTCCCCGAGGACCAACCTCGGGATTTTGCAGGACCATTTGGAGAAGGATCGACTTGAAGCAGGAACTCAAGGATATTCAGCAACTACAAATGCCACATTTCTAACAATAATTCCAACACAAAAAAAAAAAAAAAAAAAAAGATCGAAACTTTATTGAAGTTTCAGATAAGGTGAGGAGAAAAATCTAGGATTTTAATATGGTTGGAATGGAAGAAAGTGTTTGAAACCATAAAAACCCTAGAAAAAAGGTAGTAGATGCTGGGAGTTTCACCTTGAATCCCTTGGGAAAAAAAAAAAAAGCAGAAGAAGATTTAGAAGATGCTGGAATTTCAAAGGAGTTAGTATTAAACATTACCCAACAAATAAAGTTAGCATAAAAATGATTTCCATTGACCCCAAACCATCCGTACCAATTTAATTACCCAAGTTTTATGCATATTCTTCTTGTCCAGAATGAAGATTTAGAGAGAAATTGATAGAGTGGGCAGATGGATTTACAAAGTGATTTGATGTGTGGAAAAAAGAGATTAAGGTAGCCCGCAAGTATCTCAGTGGAGGTGGAACACAGAAAGGAGAAGGATGAAGGCAAGCAAACGGCAGAAAAGGGCGGAGGAAGGTACGTTACGTTGAGGTGTTTAGTGGCCCACAACATGATTATGTGTCAACTTATAATTGGTTTGAACACATCTAACGTGATGTCACCGTAATATGGGTAAATTCAATAAATAGCTTACTAACTATTTAATTTATTTCAGTTTAGTTTATAAACAATATTTTCTTTCAAAATGATTTATAAACTATTAATTTTGTTACAAATTATTAATTTTGTTTCAAAATGATCTAGTTGACAAACATTCCATTAACCAAGACTAACGAAGGGGGTTTGTTTAGCCAAACTACCCCCTAAACTTTTGAAAAATATTAAATATAGTATATATATTTTTATTTTTACAACATTTAGTTTTTAAAATTTAAATTTATTGTCAAATATTATAATTAATTAAAATGAAATTTCAATTTATATTAATTAAGATTTTAATTTTAATTTATAATAATTAATATTATAATTTAAATT